CATCCCCTTCCAGGCATTTGGTCGTATGGTGAACTGCTCCTTGGGTGACCTTGGTCATTGAGATTGCTGTACATGCATTTTCAGTTTCTTCACTGAGAGCCAGCAGTGTAGTGGATTTTCCGCAATATGCAGCACCCTCTAGGATCATCATTTTAGGCTGCAAATCCCACATGGCTTCCAAGAATATATAGCTGGATACAGCTAAGCAAGACGAAGTGTCGGTGATCACTGCTGTCTTCTTGATGACAAATGAACAAATAGCCACTTTCCTTTCAGAGTGTTGGCCTGGTACAAAAAGGGCACCGGGGCTCCCACAGGGCCGGGGAGGGCATTAGGGATTTTGAGCACAACCACTGCTTGCAGTCTGTCTTAGTCACTTCCCGACCGCCACCACTGGCTCAGGGTTACAGCTGCTGGTCAGCTGGCTCCAAGGCAGAACACATCGCCGTGGACTCTGGGGGAGGAAAAGCTGCTCATGTCACTGTGGTCGGGAAGCAGAGAAGGAACCAGCTGGGGCTGGAGATCTGTCCTTCCAGGCCACACCTGCAGTGCCCACCTCTTCTGACCAGACTCTGCCTCCCAACCGGGAGTCAGCTCTGGCACCCCCAGGCTTTTCCAGTCTTCCAAAAACCCCATCTGTGAGCGCCTGCCACAACACAGCCCAGAATGTCACACTTCCTCTTTTCTGTGGTTCAAGGCAAGGTTTTGATGGAAACCACCTCACATCACTTCTAGAAAGTCCTACTTAACAAATATTTATTGAAAACCACTTTGAGGGGCTTGAAAACCTGTGACAAAGGTAAGATCTTCCTGCATGTAGAGATTACATCCTACCAGGGGGAGATAAATAATAAACAATAAACCCAAGAGGTGAAAAGTGATACAGTACGGTGAAGGCGATACGGTCAATGCAAGTGAGGAGAAGACCAGGGAAGAAGTGGGCAAGAAGGCAGGGCTGGAGCCAGATGTGGGGGTGCATGCCTGTAATCCTGGCACTTGGGAAGCTGAGGCAGGAGGATCACCATGAGGTCAAGGCCAGTTTGTGCTGCATAGTGAGTTCAAAGCCAGCCTGGACTACAAGTGAGATCCTGCCTTAAAAATAAAAAAAGGACAGTGCTGGGATGAAGGCTGGCAGAACATGGTGCAAAGTCGGCCTCCCTGAGAAGGGGGAGGTCTGAGCAAACACAGGTGTGTCTGGGGGAACACAATGCCACAAAACCTGCTGAGTCTAGAGGACAATTAACAGATAGAATCAGCGGAATTCTCAGCTAACAGGGATTGTCCTCATATTAGCAGTGAAACTATCTAGCAGCTGCAGAGGAGCTGAGAGTGGAGATGGCTCTTTGCCAGGAGGTCGGGGTTTGTCACTCCAATGCCACCAAAAGCCATGTGACCTGGGTGGGTTGATTCTCCTCTCTGAGTCTCTGTTTCCTTCGCTCTGAAGTGGGGATGGTAATCAGTACCTGTTACTGACTGAATTCTGTACTCCCCAAAATTTATATACTGAAGTCCTAACACCCTCAGTACCCCAGAATATGACTGTATTTGGCAATACAGGTAAACTGGGTCCTTGGGATGAGCCATGATCTAATATGACAGTCTCTATGAGAAGACGAAACCCGGGGACAGATACACAGAGAGGGGGAGACCATGTGAAGACAGGGAGGAGACGCCATCCACCATCTGCAAGCGAAGGAGAACCTGGTCCACCATCTGGGTCCCCCGATGCTGGAAATAATTCTCTGCTGTTTAAGCTGCCTGGTCCTTGGTGCTTGGGTGTGACAGCCAACTCATACAGTAACTCAAGGGTTGTTACAGGATGTGCTCTGTGACAAGCAGCCCCTAAAGGCTCTGTCTGCACAAAACTCTGACCCTTTGTCCCCATCAGCAGCGATGCCACCAGGACCAGGCACGCTCAGGCCTTATCCTCCATCTTCATTTCTCTTGCCACAGAAAATATCTTTTCACGAAAAGGACAAAAAGTGTCCTTTGATTTTATCCCCACATCCCTGTTAATTTTACTACCTGAAATACAAGTGACCTAGGTGTATTGTTTAAAATGAAACCTGATGGACAAACACAAAATTAGAAGAAAAAAGTTCTCTCCCCTCAAGTTTTCACTTCCTGCCATCCTGCCATGTGCTCAGGAAGGATGAGCACTGATCATGGCTTACTGAGCACCCTGCCAGGAAAATATTTTATGCATTTATCAAAAGTCGAACACACACATTCTTTTATCAGCGTCCTGGGTGAGGCCTAATCTCCCCGTCCCCATTTAGGACTTTGCAGGATTTTCCCTGTGAGCCCTGCAGATCGCCTTGTCCCGTGAAACACAGCTGACACGGTTCTGAGGCTGAAGATCAGACAGCCCTGTTTGTGCCTCTCTGCTCATCATCTGCAGCAGTGTCATCCTCACCCCAGACTGTTAGAAATATGTGTTTTTGAAAACGTGCATTCACAAAAGAAGGAGAGGGAAGTGGGAGAGGGAGCTCTCCCCCGTGATGCATCGGATGGCTCCTTCCAGGCAGGTGGAGCCAGGCTAAGTATGCACTTATCTGGGATAATTGTAGCCAAAGACAGCGCCCCTAGAGGACAGGTTTAGACCACGCTGGATCTTTCCGGGATGGACTGGGGTGAAGGCCTGACTGGAATCTGGGAGGCTGGAGATGGGGTGGCTTGTAGGTTGGGGGCTGCTGTGTCTGCAGCAGGGCAAGCTAGCACCCCACTTGCAAAGAGCTGCACACGTGTGAAGTTAAGCATGTGCAGATGAACTGAACCATGCAGAAGGCTGCTCCCCAAACCACACACACGGGCATTTGTTTTTGATTAGTTACTCCAGCTTCTTACAATGGACACATTTTATAAAACAAAAGAAGCCAGTGTAAAAGATCTTGCCACAAAATAACCATTCTATAAATTACCTTTTAAGATAGAATATTTGTCCTTTGGCAAAAGCATATAGATGGCTGTACCTGTAATCCCAACATTTGGGAGGCTGAGGCAGAAAGGTGGTTGTGAATTCAGACCAGCCTGGGCTACAAAGTGAGTTCAAGGCCAGCCTGAACTGCATAGTGAGACCTTGTCTCAAAAACAAAACAAACCACAGAGTTTTATGGATCCACATAATAGGTGCAAAAGTGATTATTTTAGAGTCTTGTAGACACAGATCTTTGGCTCGCTGGAATGGATTTGGCTTTACCATTTCAGCTGCCATATGCCTGCTCTGTGCCAGGACCCCGGATTTTAAAATGTAGCTTTCCTGTCTTTTTTCTTCAGCAAGTGCTTGTGACCTAGTGGGGCCGAACAATATCTGCAAGTAGATGAACCCAAGCCCCTATGATGGTTTTCATGAAAAGCGCGGGGGTCAGAGAAAAAGTGACGGGCAGCTCAGGGGCAGGGGCTACATTCAACTCTCACTGCAGGGCCCTCTCCTGGCTAAAGCCCAACAGCAGGCTGATGATCTGCTTTAGGCTTCTACTGATGCAACAGATTCAGGAGGTTAAAATAGCACCCACTTATGATCTCACCATGAGGCGGGGGTGCAGTCTCTGCCCAGGGACTCACAAGGCTGCAGTAGAGGTGCCAGCAGTGCCGCATTTCTTCCTAGAGGCTCCGGGGAGAAGACTCTGCTTTTGAGCCCATTCAGGTGGTGGCAGAATTTCATTCCTTGCAGTCTTGGGAACCAGGTTGGTGGCAGCACACAGAGCCCTGCGTGGACTTGGGTCCCTTTCACCTTCCCTCTGCTGGTTCCAAGTGCTTCATGACTCAGTGGGCCACACTAGACAATCCAGAATGACCACCTTATTATTATTATTATTATTATTATTTTGGTACTGGGGATCAAGCTCACAACCGCACTTGCAAGGCAGGCGCTTATGCCACTGAGCTAAATCCCCAGCCTGACCCTATTTTAAGGTCAGGGGGAGTAACCCGAAGTACATTTGCAAAGTCTCATTTGCATGCAGAGTAATAGATCCATAGTACCAGGGTTCAGGAGTAGACTCTTGTGGAACCATCTAACAGTCACAGTCTTTGCACCCCTCTTTGCCTGCCATGGTGCCTAGTGTGGAGTTGTGATGAACCACTGGTGGTGGGGGGAGTTTCATGCTCCTCACCAGGTGATAGGGCCAGTCAGAGTCACTGGGACAGCTTCTTCCTGGGCGTGAGGTCAGCAGATTTAGACCAGGGCAGAACCCAGGATCCATAGCCACTGCCGGCAAAGGAAACGCAAGAGCTGACTTGCAAGTATTTATCGTGGCACTTTAAATTCATGACAGTTTAAAAAGATTTAGACACTGGGCCAGGCCACGCTGAAACTTCCTGTGCAGATGCTGGGTTTTAAAGCCCTGCCTTGTGCACGGGGCTTCTCTCCGATCTGCTGGTCTCCCACAGAACTCTCTCTTAAATATTCTTTTTCTATCCTAAATGCCATTTTTTTGGATCTCTGGTTCTGGGGTGGTACCTCCTGAAGGAACAGTTGGGACTGATAGCACCAAGAATCATTTGACAAGCATGGAAATATTGCGTCCCGTGTCCTTTACCTTTCAATATTTGCTTAGTTGAATCTCCAATTGCAAAGCTGCCCGCCTTGTGTTTTCTTCAGGAATAATTTGAACTGTTTCAGTTCGTGATATCTACATTAAATTTCTAAAATCTTTTTTAAAAAATGTGGAGTACGTTTGTGAGAATTTGTGCATTCTCTTGAAAGTTGAGCAGTTCTGGCAAACTTGAGTTCTAGATCTCGTTGGGGGGGGCACCCCAGGAGAAGACGTGGGGGGGGCGCTCCCCGCTTCCTGTAGGCTTCCGCTGCCCTCCTGCGTGGCCTAGGGTCCACACTCGGTCCACGCGCCGCGCCGATTCCCCCGGGAGGGAACCAGCCTTCGCAGACGCCGCCTGGGGGGGGGGGTCCTTTCGCTGCTTTGGGCTGGGGACCCGCAGCTCGCCCAGCTCTGCCCCGTGGCCCGCGCGTCCCGCCCCCGAGAAGGGGCCGCAGCGGGGGACCCGCCGCGCTGGCCGCCGCCCCGTGGTCACGTGAAGCCGAGCGCAGCTGGGCCTCCGCTGGCCCGGGAGGGCAGAGTCCGCCCGGGCGGCCGCTCGCCTGCTCATCCCTGCCCTGCGCGCCGCAAGGCGATGCCCGGGATCCAGCCCGGTTCGGGGGCGCAGCGCTTGCGCCCCGAGCCCCCAGAGGAGCTGCCGGCCCAGGAGGTAAGGGGCGACGCCCGCAGCGCCTCCCGCCCCGGAGCCTCCCCGAGAAGGCACACCCGCAGAAAGACAGCGCGGGCTGCTGGAATTGGGGGTCCCGCTGGGGGACGGGGCGGGACGCGGTGCCAGGAGCCCTTTTACGCCCGGAAGCCCCCGGATTTGGCGCTCAGCCGCGAGGCGCACAGCTTCTGGGGCGCATCCCTGCGCGTCGGGGTCACTTGGGGGAGCTGTCAGCCTGCGCCACGGGGACCGAGCTGGGTTCGAAGCCCGCGCTCCGAGTGCCCGGAGGCCCGAGTCCCGGGCTGCGAGCGAGGCGCCACCCCAGCCGGGTCTCCCTGGCCCGTGCGCCCCGCACTGCGCTTCGTGGCGGCGGAGAAACAGCTGGGGGTCCGGGCGCAGAGAAGCGCCGGGAAGGAGGCTCCAGGATGTGGGCCGGGGAGTGCTGAGGCAGCCTTTCCCGGGGACAGGCACGGGCGGGTTCCAAAGTCGCTCGGATCCCTTTGGCTCCCGCCCCCAGAACCTCTGTGAAGCAGCTGGGCTGGGGTGAGTCCCTTGGCCGCCCAAGAGCTTAGAGAGCAGAGGGAGCTGTTCACGGATCCCGGGCTCCCCAGGGCTCCCTTCCAGGCCCAGCTGTCCTGTTCAAAGATTTGGACAAGACAAGCGAAAAGCCGAGAGGTTTTACATTAATCGAAGGTATTAAAAATTATCACCGACAAGAGGAGCAGCAAGCAGTTCCCAGAAAAATAGAGCGCTGTGGAGTGAGCGTGGGTCAGTTAACACAGGAAAAGAAGTCCAGTCTGCCTGTGGAGTGCGGGTGGGAGATGGAAAGGCGCCCGCGGTATGCACCCCCATTCTGCCGTCAGATCAGGGCGCCCCTGCAAAGCCGGTTGATCTCGTGACAGAAGAACTGAAGACAGCACTCTCAGATTGCTGTCAGGTGCAGGGCTCCGAAGCTGCTCTGAGCCTGGAGTTGCCCAGTTGCCCAGTGGCTTTGCTCTGCCCCGATTTCCTGCCTCGTTAGCACCCCCTGCTTGATCACCTTCCAGCGAGCCCCCCTGGAGTCTGCTGCAGAGGTCCACAGGGCAGCGTTCTCTGTGGGGTTTTAATTTAAAGCCCAGCCTGACTCACGGGGCTTCTCTGTGGCCTGCTGGTCTCCCACAGGAACGCGGCCCCTTCCACCAGGTGGACTGGGCCGTGCCCCGGACTCTTAGCCGAGCAGGCCAGGAAGGAAGAGCAAGTCCCACTCTGACCAAACCAAGCCACGCTCCCCCTGGTAATGGGGCTGCAGCGGGAAGGAAATAACTTGAATCTGCGAGTATTGATGGCCTCCTTCTATGTGCTTTATATCTTTTTGTCTAAATAAGAGAGGAGTGCAATAATAGTAATTTGAGATCTCAAGAAATGGAAAAAGGATGATTAAGTACAGGGTTTGGCTGATTCCTTGTGCTTAGTGGCCTCTCTGGGACTGAGGCCTTTTGTCGCTCCGGGTCTTTCAGAGGCCTTCCCACAGGGACAGCCGTGAAGGCAGGTGAACGGATGCAACCTGAGACCATACTCAGAGGTGAAATACATCAGACTCACGGGTGTGAACGTCGTATTGTCTCACCAGTGTGAGAAGCGGGAAGAGTAGGGAGGTCTAAGATGCACAGTAGAGATTGTGAAATGGGAAGAAACTGTTCAAAAGGAAGAAGGAACTAGGATGGGGGAGAGGGGCAAAGACAGAGGGGAAAGGGAAACGTGCAAGTCAGTTATACTATTGATGTGCCTTGGTTTATTAAAAAGGAAGGTTTGGGGCCCGGGATATGGCTCAGCGGAATGAATGCCTGCCTGGCAAGCACCAGGTCCTGAGTTTGATTCCTGATACCAAAGCAAAACACGAAGTATATAAGAAAGAAAAAGGGCCTGGGGTGCTAATATTGATTGGAGAATTTTTATGACTATATCTTGTATCCTGAGCAACTACTTTAAAGATAACAACATATAATGTATTAACTATTGTTATTCTCCTATTATTTTGTTAGGAAATTTTGTTTTACCCTTTTCTCCATAAAATTAAAAAAAAGAGTGAAAAAGAGTGAAAAAAGATGAATCTAGTACTAACAGAAAACCCTCAGCAGAATTCCTCTTTGTTGATGTAACAGCAATGATTGAGTCATTAAACTAGAGACCACTAGCTAGATCTCAGGAGGTCACTAACCAACTAACTGGGTTAACATTATGCAAAAATTATCTTTGGGTCAAGGAACAAGGAGCTGCCTGCTGACCTGAAATTCACTAGCACCTTTTTTCCCCCAAAGAATTTTAAGAAACTCTTTTTCTACACAGAGTTGCTTTTGGCAGCCTCTGGGCTGGCAGCCCACTTGTGTGAATTTCCCTGCTTGTGCTTTTAAAACAGAAATGACCCAAAGCTACTGATTCTTGCTTTACTGTGAGTAAGAATTAGTGGGGAAGCTTCTGGGGATGTTCCAGGATCAGCCCCCGCCCTGAGACTCTGACTTTATTGTCTGCTTGTGGTCCAGGCCACAGTAACTTTAAGGTCCCTGGGGCATTCAAAAGTGCCACCAGTGCCAGCGCTGAGACCCTGTGCCCTGTGCTAGTTCTTTTTGACACTCCGTGTGGCCGCTCCTTAATTCTTCATGTGCTTCTGTTCAAATGGTCTTATTCTTAAACTTCTTTGTGGAGGTCTTTGATGATCGCTTCTTAGGACTCTGGGTCCCCTGGTGTAGCCTCACGGTGATTTGCAGAGAAACTTTGGCAGGAGAAAGTGGCAGGAACCAGAAGGGGTGCAGCAGGCTCCCCTGGGCTCCTGCTCATGGCGGGATGAGGGGATCCCCAAGAACATCAGGAGGTTGGGCGATTCAGGCTGAAATCTTCACAGGGGCCAAGAAGCACCCTAAGACCAGTTGCCTAGGGGAGTGATTTGGTGGCAGAGGGGATAGGGACTGGGGTGACCTAGAGGGTGTGTCCCCCACCCAAAGGAGACTGTGGCTCCCCATCTGCAGCTGTTTAGGTGTCACCCATGCAGCCCTAGATTGCAAAAATGGCTCCTGAGTCGTCCGCTCATCCCCAAACACAAGCCCCTTTTACAAAGTGACCGCAATTGATTTCAATAAGAGGCGGAGTCCATGTCTCCAGCCTTTGAATCTGAGTTTGGTCATGAACTCGCTTTGGCCAGTGGGCCATGGGCAGATGTGCTGCAGTTAGAGGGACACTGGTGTGTCAATGCTTGGTCTCCCACTGCTCGTGGGGACACTGTGACCCTTGATTCAGACTGCACGTGGGCAGGACACATGAGCAAGGCTCCCCCAGACCACTTGGCGCCTGTGACCATAGGGACCAGCTGAGATGGTAGGGCCAACATTGCTGGGTGGACCCACAGAATCTGGGAAAATAGAAAATGTTTATCCAGGTGACTGAGCATCGGGGTGAGTCGCAAAGACTTACTGTGTCTCTCTTTGCCAGATGTTATAATTTTAAAAATAGAAACCATAAGTTCAAATTTTTGCATAGGCTCCAGTTTTGGAAAAAAATTGAATTAGTAGCCAACATTCTAGAAATACCGTGGGCCAAATCAAACACGCCTTTAGGCTGTGCTTGGCCTCTTGGGCGTTGGCTTCAGCTTTCCATATGGAAGGACAAGAATGTGTATACTGATGCCTCATTGTCTTGGAGCCGTCCTTCTTGCCAGAAGTGCTGACCCTTCTGACTCTTGGCCGCTGTCTCTGTGGAACGCCCGCAGTAGAAGGCGCCGCGCAAGTCTCCAGGCACTGTGTCCATGTGGAACGGTCATCTGTCTGTCCGCCAGGCTTCTGGGAGAGAGTGCAGTTTGAAGTGGGCTTCCAGGGAAGGAAGAGGGGCAGGAGACAGCTGGTTTGGGGTAAGCATGAGGCCAGATGTGGAGGGGGAAGCTGTAGGGAACTACCGATGAGGGATCCACTAGTTTTTTGTGGGCTTTGTTTTTGGTTTTTTGAGGTAGGGTCTCGCTATGGAGCTCAGGCTGCCTTTGAACTTGCAGTGATCCTCCTGCCTCAGTCTCTCAAGTGCTGGGAATAGAGGTGTGTGCTGTTATGCCTGGCATTGAGAGGAGTGTCCTGGGGGGGTGTGGGGGGGAGGAAGTTTGGGGGGAGAAGTGGGGAGACGGTAGAGCTCCTAACACTATGCCAAGGGTTCCTTCTGATTGCCTGGGCAAAGGGCAATCACTCAGAGAAGACACCTGAGGCTTTTGAATGGTGCCCCCTGCATGGAAAGCAAGGGCTTACTCTGCCCTCAGAGGGTGCAGAAGGAGCCCGTGGGAGCCTGAGGGAGATGGGTGGGAGGAATAGGGTTTGTGGTGATGGACAAAGAAAAACCAGGACGGGGAAGAATTTGGCTTAAACTGTGGGGACAGAAGTCTCTGGACCTGATATTACGTTGTGCTGATTTTCTCATCTTGAGAAACGAGAGAGAGATCGACTGTGTTTTCAAAGCCCTCTAACCACAGCTTTGCATCGTCCTATGATTCTCATCAACTGACTTACAGATGTATAGCATTTATAATGATTGTTTCCTATGACGAGGAAGACTGACCTCAGAGCTTCTCAAGTCGACTCTGTGTCCCTTTTGTGCTCTCTCCTCTAATTCCTTTTTAAATAACACTTTTATTTATGGGCAGTCACTAGTAATTTTTTTGTTTGTTTTTGTTTTTTTGTCTTTTTGAGACAGGGTCTCACTATGCAGTTCAGGTTGGCCTTGAGCTCAGAGCCAGATGGGTCTCAAATTTGCAACGATCCTCCTGCCTCAGCCTCCCGAGTTCTGGGCTTACAGGAGAACGCCACCATGCTGGCTTCCTCTCTCTAACCCTAAGGAGGTCACCTTCCTCAGGATGAAGGCTTACAGTACTGGGGGCAGAGAGGGAGAGGGAAAACATGAAAATCATGAATGTATCTTAAAATCTTGATGGCGAGGGCAGGGAATGGAAGCGCCACAGCCATAGGAAAGAGAGAAATTCAGAAGTCTGTTACTGT